TCCATTCAGGAAAGAAGAGTTGTAAGCCAGGGAACGTGGATCAGCAGTTTTTCTGACATAGGCAGGTCTAACCTAGAATACTTCAACTACTTTGGAACTGATTAGGTAGTTCTCCCTCCTGTTGACTCAGGGAAAGGCAAGAGTGGCCACTCACTGCCCCCCTCGCTCCCTGTCTTTCTCCTAGGAGTGAAGTGCAGCCAGTGGTCGGAAGAGGCTTCGATGGTGTTCCGAAATCACGTGGAGAAGAAACCCCTGGTGGCATTGGTCCAGGCAGTTATTGAGCACACTAACCCTTGGGACCGGAAAGTAGTGGTCTATCTAGTAGACACATCGCTTCCAGACACTGACACCTGGATTCATGACTTTATGTCACAGTATCTGGTGGAGCTGTCAAAAGTTAATTAATCACTGCTTGAGACCCCAACAACTAATGCAGGTTGTTCTCTAAGCAATAACAAATGTGTAGTAGGCTCTCAGAACATCTTATTTTTACTACATGGCTCTGACTGTTGTGGAGGATTGAAAAGAATATGCTTTGTTTGATGAAAGATATTTAACAAGTTTTGTTTAACACAGTTGACTTTTCAAAGAAAATTGCACTTGAATTATTAATATAATATTAGAATAAAACTTTTAGCAATGTAAAACCCGATGTCTTAGTTTGCTTTCTAGTGCTGTGATAACCACCATGACCAAAAGGAACTTAGGGAGAAAGAGTTCGCTTGGCTTGCAGATTACTGTCCATCATCAGGGAAGCCCAGGAAAGGGCTCAAGCAGGAGCTAAAGCAGGGGCCATGGTGAAGCTCTGCGTCCTGGCCTGCGTCCTGGCCTGCGTCCTGGCTTGTCCCCATGGCTTGCTTAGCCTGCATTCTTATACCTCCCAGGACCACAGACCCAGGGGTGTCCCTGCCCACAGTGAACTTTGCTCTCCTACATCAGTCCTTAATCAAGAAGATGCTCTGGGGGCTGGAGAGATGGCTTAGAGGTTAAGAGCACTGGTTGCTCTTCCAAAGGTCCTGAGTTCAATTCCCAGCAACCACATGGTGGCTCACAGCCATCTGTAATGAGATCTGGTGCCCTCTTCTGGCCTGCAGGCATACACACAGACAGAATATTGTATACATAATAAAATAAATAAATAAACAAATAAATAAAAGAAGATGCTCTGTAGACTTGCCAACAGGCCAGGCTTATGGAGACATTTTCTCCATTGCGGCACCTACTTTTTAGATGGTGTGAGTTGTGTCAAGTTGGCACGCTAACCAGCACACTGACTGACTACCTTGCAATCGCTAGGTATTCCTAGAGGTGTTCTGATTCTAAGGTGAAAGCGTCCATTGCCACTGATGTCTGCATTGCAGTGTTGGGGTCTTCATCAGGAAATCGAGAATATAATGAATATAATATAGTGACTCTGGTCCACTCTGGTGTCGTGATGGGTCCTAAAGCAGATTGCCCTAAATGTGTGTACATCAGTACTGATACAGGAGCAGCCAAGCACAACAGTGTACTCGTTGCCAAATCTTTAAAAAAAAATTAGATTTACATGTGTGTGCACATGCACGCATGTCACAGCACACATGGAATCAGAAAACTTGGGAGTGGATTCTTGTGTTCAGGAATTGAAATCAGCTCATCAGTTTGGCAACACATGCCTTTACCTGATTAGCCATCTCAGGCTCTCTCTGATCTCCCTCCCCAGCCCTGCTTTCTGCACCTGTGTCCAGCCACATGGACCTTTATCGGGAGCCTGAGCCCCTCTTACCTCCATCCAAGACTACTGACATTTCAAACGAGACTCATTTCCCTCTAAATTCTCAGCCTGTGGTTTGGCTCCTTCTGCGTTGGTGCCCCTCTGGCCTCCCAGGCCGGCCATGAAACCTTCTGCGCGGTGCTTCCCCTTCTACTTCTTGTACTTTGTTCTCGGGTTTTGTTTGGTTTTGTCTCAAAAAAAAGTTCTTGCTATGTAGCCCAGGCTAGCTTCAAACTTGAGGTCCTCCTGCTGCCAAGGCACTGGGATTGTATCTACCAAGACTAGCTCTCCAGTGTAGTTGGAGTATGCCTCTCTAGATGCACCGTGTCGACAGTGAGCAGCTGTCAGGTTGTCTCAATCATATCAGAGACGGACCCAGTAGCACACCATGGGTAGTAAACAACCGTGTCTCATGGGCAGACAACATCCCACCTTTGCAGACGGCTGGCTAACCACATGGTCACTGCCTGTACCATTTCAGCTTTGTAAGTGTCATGTGATCACTTCCGGGGTCACCCAGATAGACAAAATGACGCTGTGCAGGTCAGCACGTGCTGGCTAATTGATGGACAGACAGATGGGCAAATGGACGGATGGTAAGCTTTAGCTGTGGGTAAGAAGAAGTGGAGAAGCCCCAGACAAAAAGCAAAACACTGGAATAAAGAAACACACTGAAGACATCTTGACATTCTTAATTAGAATATTAGGACAGACAGACAGTCAGGTACAGCAAGCAGGGGAGCAAGCCAAGCGAATGGATCACTGCAGTGTGAGCAGAAAGCGGCTGTTGCGTTGAGCACACTGCGTTTGAGCTATAGACTGCTGGGGAGGTGCTCCTGGGCTGTGGGCAGCGTGACATGAGTGGACCTCGGGAGAAGTCCAGGCTGCAGGCAAACATTCTTAGAGCTATTTGTTTTGAGTTGAGGAAATGTAGGAAAACAATAATAGAAAAAGAAAAGACCAGGTTGTAAAAGGTTTTCATCTTAAACATATATAATGTATTCTAGTTTTAAGAGAAAATGTGGAGCCTAGGCAGTTTGGATGCTCACCTTACTAGACCTGGATGGAGGTGGGTGGTCCTTGGACTTCCCACAGGTCAGGGAACCCTGATTGCTCATTGGGCTGATGAGGGAGGGGGACTTGATCGGGGGAGAGGGAGGGAAATGGGAGGCGGTGGCGGGGAGGAGGCAGAAATCTTTAATAAATAAATAAATTAAAAAATAAAAAAAGAGAAAATGTGTATTTAAATCTGTCATGAATACATATGCCAATGACTAATTGATTATGAAATAAAAATTCTTCCAAAATCGCAAGATTTAAGAATAATTCCACCAATGATTAGAGCAATTATTTATGGTGAAATAAAAATTTTGTACAGAACATAAATGTTTAAGTGAATTAAGATGTGTTTTTCATAGTGATTTCATAGTTTTTCTGACAACAAATCCTTGAATTGTGTGCTGTCAAAGGAAGACTTTTCTATTTCATTGACTTAAGAAATATTTCCATTCTTAAAGAAAGCAATCGTGTTCATTGGTGCAAAGATACAGTTTGTGATGTGAGGTAGCTTGACACATGGATGAATTTGGTCCCTGTCCTGGACTGCTGAAGTCCAAAGTCAGTTCCAGGTGCGCTAGAGACCTGAGTGTGAGAGACTAAGATAGGAAGTGACACAGAACACCCTTAACTAGGAGAGTCCCTAAGCAGGACACAGCTGGCGGAGCACAGGACAGCTGCGCTCAAAAGGTCAAGAGGGCGAAGGGCAGAGTGGACGGATATATGCTGTTAAATATGTGATACATGTAACCATACAGTGTTGACGTATTGAATATGTTCAATAAAAGTGGACAAGAGCCGGGCGGTGGTGGCGCACGCCTTTAATCCCAGCACTCAGGAGGCAGAGGCAGGCGGATCTCTGGGAGTTCGAGGCCAGCCTGGTCTACAAGAGCTAGTTCCAGGACAGGCTCCAAAACTACAGAGAAACCCTGTCTCGAAAAACAAAAAACAAAAAAAAAAAAAGTGGACAGTTCTTGGTAAAACTTTCAAGTAGTGGTTGAGCCCAGTGCTCATCTCTCCTACAGCTGAGCGAGGGCACCCTCTGACCCTGCACTTACAGCAGCCAGGTGTGTACACTAAAAGTGATCTCAGCCACACTGTATTATCCCAAATACAGCCTTTTAAAATAGGGTGTGTTCCTGTGAAAATACCATATTTGTTATGTTCATATGGCACATTCACTCCATATGAAACCTCTAAATTGAACAGCAAGAAAGAACAGTGTAACAGAAAATAGCCTCAGCATTGAGCTAGAGTCGCCAACCTGACAGTAAGGGAGGGTCCGTAAGCAAGCGTGGGGGGGGGGGGGTGGCGGGCACGGGCTAGTGGTTGGCTTGCACAGGTTTTCTCACTGTAAACCTTCAGGAAGCTACACACTAAGGTGTGCCCTGAAAATGTTTAAACGTAAGTTATTGGAAATGGTGAGTCCCTGCTTTGTCTAAAGATACATGCTACTTATTCCCTGAAAGGAGCATTCTTAATAGTGTATTATAGGCTTTATAATACAAAAATATGCTTTGGGAAATACTTTTAGTACTCTCCAGCCTTTCTCTTCAGGCATCTACAGCAGAATTAGGGTTTCCCTCACCAAAAACGTTGGGCTAGTCCAATTGAGACATTTCCTTGTGTCTGTTTGGATTCTTTGGTATGAGCCATTTGGTTTTTTTTTTTTTTTTTTTTGAAACACTGAGGCTTTGAGTGTAAGTGGTTTGTTCTGGAGAACACATTAGCCTTTTAAGAAAGCAGAACTTTCGTTCCGGTTATTTTAAGTGGTGATTTCAGACGCTCCATTCTCTCAGCGCTGTGTGGGAGAAGGCGTTCGATTCTGCGTTGAAATTGTGCGTCCACAGATGATGGTTATTAAGACCTGGGCGCGTGCCAGACCTGGCCGACCTATTGGGGAGAGGGGACAGGTTGCCTCTTCAAAGAAAGCAAGGTATAGCCGGGTTTTATTTTACTGGAACATTCTAGACCCCGTGAGAATAAAGATCTCCCCATTTTTGTCCAGATACCTCCAACGTTGCTTAAAATCTTCCCGAGAGAAGTTGTGGAAACCGAGATCAAGGCAGGGAACGACACTTTCACCTGGCTCGGAGCTTGGGGTGGCCCTGCTGGTGGTCTGCGATTCTCCCAGCGAGTGTCGCTCCCAGAGACCTTGCTGCACCCGGGCGCCCCTGGTGGAGCGGGAGGGCGGGGAGGGCGGCGGGGTGGGGCGGGGCGCGGTGACAGCCGAACAGAGCCCGCCCCCGGCTCCCACCCGCGGCCGCCAGGGAACTCGCCCAGGCCCGGGTTCCGCTCCTTGCCACAGCCCGCGCTCGCGCCGCCTCGCATCTCGGTAAGACCCCCGCCCGCCAGCCCTAGGTCCCCCTCGGCCTCGCGGGGCTCCCTGCCGCCGCACCGGGGCGCAGCCATATCTGGGCAAAATATTCAGCTGTCGCCAGCGCCGAGAAGGGACTGAGCGCGATTCCCTCTATAAATAGCCACCGCCTCGGGTGGCCTTCAGGGGGTCCGGATCCCCAGCTTGGCGATCGGGTTGCTGGCCCTCGAGTCCCTGCAGCCTCGCGCGCGCGGTCCTGACCAGGGTGCCTGGACTGTAGACCTGGTCGCCGAGGGACCTTGGGAGCCTCCCGGGGCGCCCCCCGCGGGCATAGGCACGTTGCGAACTGGGCACTAGCCCGCCTGGGAATCTGGGAAGGAAGGGAGTCCGCGCTCGGGGGACGCTGAGCCCTGACCGCGCACCGATCTGGCGCGTGCGGGAAAAGTTTCCCAAACTGCTGGAGCTAGCGATGTTTAAAGCACCAGCGGCACTCGCTTTGCGCAGCCAGGTGGGATGGGAAAGAGCCTGGAGGCTGGAGACCACTGGCTGTTGCCAACTCGGGGGTGGCCTAGGCAATCCTGTTTTTTTTCCTCTGGACCTAGATTTCCCATTTGTAAAGTCAGGGTCCTTCGAGGGGATGGGACCCGAGGCCAAGAGAGCAGCCAGACTTGCTCTGAACCGCCCACAATTCCTGCACCTGTTCCCCAGTTTCAGATTAGGGATGCTGGGGACACAGCTGCAGAAGTCAGGTCCTGGCTTAAGACCCACTAGGGCCCTCGGAATAGCTTGGGAAGTGTGCCTGGGGTGCTTGGGGACATGTGCTGAGTAGCTTGGCAAACAAGTGACCAAATGAACTGGGAGGCTGGGGGAATTCAGTTCCCTGGCTATATGACACCCATGATAGTGCCTTAACCACGCAGCCCCTGTTCTCTCCTTAGTTCCCCTCCCTTAGCTGGTACTCACCTTCTCCGGTGAGTCCTGAAGATCGCCTAGCCCCAACAGAGCCAGAACCTAAACCCAGATCCTGGGTTCCGGGGAAAGGACACCCATAAAGCTGATCTTTCTCCCTAGGTCACCACCACTGTTGCCCTCAGCCCCGTGCTCAAGGTCATGCATACCCGGCTGCAGTCGGCCTGTCTTTCCTTTACCGGTCTGAGCACCTCTGTTGATGGCTGGGACTTTCCCAGGCTGGAGTAATAGTGTGAAGGTTCTCTCTAGTACTGAATTTGGAGATTCCTCGGGTTTCTCTAGCCTATCTCTGTGCTTCACAGATAAAGGAGGGAAGGGGGAGGCGAGCCAAAGGAAGGTTCCCACTGACTCCAAACCTCTCAGCAAGCCAGCAATGAAGACAAGGGACCTGTCACTCTGGCATCTTATCTTTAATGAACTAGTCTCACAGTCCACGCTTTAGACAGCTATTGGCCCTTGGGTGCCTAGCATCCTAAGTGGGAAGCCAAAGTCCTCTAAAAATAGCCTCGGCCCACCTTATCAGAGTCTCACACCTTCTCCCTCCTCTTGGGCAGGGCTCTTTGCTGCAACTTAACTGCAGAAAGCAGGGACTAGGCGGTGTCAGCTCTCAGTAATAAAGGGGGGTTGGCCTGGAACTCAGGGCCCTGGCTCCAGTCCCAGCTCTGTTACCCACCCAGCATGACCTTGAGAAACGACCCGGTGGACAAGATGGTCTTCAGTGGAGCTGGAGTGCAGAGGGCTGAAGTTCTTCCAGAAGCCCTCTAGCTTGCAGGGAGATCTGGCACCCATCCTGTGATGAGGACCCAGGGGTCGGGGGAAAGTGACTTTCCAGGAGCTAAGTGGAAATGTGGACAATGACAGTTACTACACAGGGACAGAGTGCTTGAGAAGTGGGGGAAAGCCATCAGAATTGGAGCAGACTCAGGGATCTTAGCTGCAACATGGCAGAGCCTTTAAAAATAGGATCTGTTGGTGGCCCAACTTGTCTCGCCTCAGTTTCCCCTGTGTGCAGTAGGGCTAACAATAGTAACCACTTCATTCAGGCTGTGGAAGGGAGTGATGGCAGGCAAGCCCTGAGCTTAGAACCAGCCCTGGGATGATGTGTTTAGTGAGGCCGAGGCAGGAGCTTAAGACAAGACAGCTTCCAGGGCTTCCTCAAAGCTCAGATAGGAAGAGAGAGGTGATGGACGGTGATAGGAGCTGGGGCAGGGGAAGGCCCGTTTATGAGATGGCAAGTGTGGTAAGAGGTAGAAGAGAATCCAGGGGTGACCACAGGGTGCAGGAGAATCTGAGCGGCGTGCCCATGGCAGGATTGAGGACATGTCTCATGTCACTAGGTCTGCATGTGGCTTTCGACCCTTGGGACTTTACTGAGCAAAAAAAAGAGGGCAAAATGAAACACGTCCCTTGTGCCCTGACTGACTTCAGTATCTGTAAAGGAAAGTGGCAGCGAGCCAGGAAGGGTGAGTTGACCCTGCTGCAGGGGCCTGGTGACCCTGGCTTGCTCCTTTCGGGGATGACGTCATCTATTGATGACTTCTGCTGAGCCCAGTCATATGGCTTCTTCCGGACAGTGTTTTGATTTTTCAGTCTTACTAATGGACCAGCCCAGGCTGCCAACATTTCTAAAGAGGCCAGTTCACTTTCCGTCCGAGCCGGAACACTAGCTAGATCAATTATTTGGCTACCAGGAGTCATTATCAGTTTAAAGCCAGGGGCCTCCCTGCTCCTTGGGGTTAACGAGTTCAATCACGCAGCGCTGGAGCCATCTCCCTTGCTGTCTGTTTTGTAATGTCCTCTGGTTTATTACTGATGCTAACAGACTCCCAGTTGTGCTCAATGATAATGAAGAATGAGCTCACTGCAATCAACCTAGGACACGGTCTGGAATCTTCTGGGCTGAGGCGCTGGGTTCTTGTCTGCTAGGAAAGCAGAACAAACTCGGGCATTTATCTCGTCCCTTTCTTGTGTCCCCATGGTGATAAACTTTGGGAAAGGCTCAAGATCGCAGTGCCCAGGAAGGTAGGAAGGTAGGAAGGAGGGGGAGGAGGCAGGTCCCGCCCCTATGGCCCTTTCTCCTTATACTCCCAGGGTCCCCAGCCCTAGCTGCTTTCATTCCGGATTAGTAGAGTAGTACCACAAGGCTGTTTCTAGAGGTGTCTGTAGTGGATATTGGCAGTGGCCACCGGACATTTCCCCCTGTGCCCAGACGAGCCGAGGAAAGCAGAGGCACCTCGCAACCTCACTCCCCCTTCTTCATGGACTCATCTTCAGCCTGACCTTTCGGTGCTGTGGCCTCTAGTGGCCTCTCACCCCCCCACACACACCTCTGTACCCACCTGACAAGTTCTTGTGTCCAGTCTGGACACCCCCCCCCCCCTTAGCCTAAGGCTCCTGCATACTGGACAAAGTATGTATGTAGCTCGAAAGACCCAGCTCTGGGTTCTCCTGTCAATGCTCTCCCTGTTTTCTCATCTTGGTCATCAATGACATGGTCCACCAGGGTACCAAGCCAGAGCCTCCCTCCCCTTCACTGTCCCTTCACATGGTCACCCAGTCAGCTCTACGTTTCTCACCGCTCCTATCTGTTCTTAGGTCCACATGCGCCACTGCAGTCAAGGACTTGGGCCTCTTCACCTGAGGCTCTTGGTGGAGTCTGCTCTCCAAAGGGCTTCCCAAAGCAGAGCTATGGCCTTTTCAATGCTTTTTAGCGGGGGAGGGGCTGACTCCCCATTCCCTATTGAAGTACAGAGATTCCTTAACATTAAGCAGAATCTGAGCCCAGGGTACTCTGAAATCCTGCTAGGTCTGCCCCAGTTTCTAGGAGACTTCCCCATGGTCAGAAATATGCCAACATTGTGTGTCTCCTGCCTTTGCCCAGCTCCTCCCTCTGCTTGGAATGCTGCTGTCCCGGTACTCAACCAAAGAGTTTGAAAACATCGTTTAAAGCCCAGGCCCTTGGTTTCTCATCCATGCTCCCTTCTAACTCCCAGAGCATCCGCACAGGGTGCTCGAACTGAACCCAGTTGCTGCTGCCTTCTGGCGGGGCAGGAGGGAAGCTGTTGGAGGGCAGTGCTGGTGGCTCCTGTGTGTGCAGCATCCTCAGTGATCACAGCTCAAGATGCTTGCTGTGGTGTAGGTTCTAGGAAATGGTTGGCAGGTGAATGAATGAGTGAGTGACTGAGTCATCACAGTGACAGGCATATGATACACACCAACCGGCATTTACATGTTTGCCCATCTACCAGACCATCAGCTCCATGGGGCCAGGGACCAGACCTGCTTGGTTGCTTCCTGTTGGGTCCCAAGCTCCTGCCAGTCCCGTCACACTAAACAACCAACAAGACAGCCCATCATGTCCTTTGAAACTAAGCACAGTCCTGTGAAGGAGAAGCCTGGTTTGTTTGGGTTTTTGTAATCAGTGAGTAGACCTCAGCAGGAATTGGGGGTGTGCATTCCAGAATACTGAGGTGCTTTTCAGGGTTATAAACTTGAGGAACAAGGGTCCTCACATTCTGTGTCAATGCTTCCCTCTCTTAACTGGGCATCTCAGCCATGTGGAATCTTCCTGTACTGTAAATCCTCAGATTCTAGCTCAGTGGGTATAAAATAGGGCTTGAGAGTATGAATTTCCAGCAAGTACCTTTGCCTCTAACGTCTCTTATCACCACAATAAAGCGATCCTGACCTTCATCCTATCCATACCCACAGCAGCTTTCTCCTGCTGGACTTTAAGATGGTTTTTCTAAAATCCACAGGTGGATGCTTTTGCTCAATTCTCAATACCAAGGGCTCCTTCTAGTCAGCACCCTGCTTACAAGTGTGGTATCAACAAGTTTCTGGTCAGTGTTGGGGTGGGAGCCTGAGACAGCTGCCATGTTGCAGTCAGTACCAGACACCCAGGGGCATGCAGGTTGAAAAGGAACAGAGAGGAAAACATGAAGACAGCCTTGCCCCATGCAAGCTCAGGCAGATAACAGAACTCTGACTGGCAGGGCTGCATGTGATTGCTTGCGAACATTTGTGTGTTGCACATCAAATTCTGCTTG